CCACCGCTTGTGTGAACTTCCCAAAAACCTTACATTGTCCGGGCAGATTCAGCTGAAATCCGCTATAAACCCTATTTGCCCCCAAACCCTCTATATGGGCAGTTCTGTAAATTAGGGTCCCTTTTTAGGTCCCCAATATACTACGGCGCCCTTGTGGCCCTGAAAAGACTATGCGGGTACTTTTCTGCATTGGGGTCCCTTTTAGGGTCCTTTTGATAAGGGCCCCGTGCTATTTTGGGGACCTGAGAAGGGACCTAATTTAGAGAACTACCCATCCCCGAACCTTAAACCCTCAACCCTAAACCCTCAACCCTCAACCCTAAACCCTAAACCCTATAATAAACCCTAAACCCTAAACCCTAAACCCAAACCCTATTTAAACCCTAAACAAAAAAACATATACACTCTGGCACCTGCCCCCGAAAAAGCGTAAAAGCCCAAAGGTTGGAACCCCTGAAGGTGGGCACCTCGCGCCCGCTCTCCTATTTCTACAACAGGTATGAATATGAATATCAGTATAACTAAGTTCATACATAAATATGTTCATACATATATGATCATAGGTATGTATATATACACATGTTTATGTATCCGTATAATTGGGATTTAGTATGGGGGCATTGTTGTTTTTTTGTTCACGTGGGGTTTGCGAAAGGTTTTTACAAAGGGGCCTTGACAAGCAGAAGAAGAGGCGTTGGTTCCCATTATTGTGGGTTCGAACAGTTCAGGGTTCAGGGTTTACGGGTGTGGGGCGTCTATAGTAATAGGAATTGCTATTATGGTTTGGGCAAATCTCCCCCATGACAGCACAACCCTAAACCCTAAACTCTAAACAAGGGGCAGCAGTACGCAGCCCTTTGTGTTCGCGGCCGACCTTGGAGACCTTTCCCAAAGCTGCAAACCTCCATACACTCTGAACCCCAGGCCCTAAACCTTACACCCAAAACCTCAAACCCGTAAACCCTAAACCCTAAACCCTGAACCCCTAGACCCCGAAACCCCTAAACCACTAAACCTAAACCCCGAAACCAAATGACTGATGCCTGCTGGACTCTGGATGTCGAATTTCCAGGCACCTGAGTCCGGATTCCTAAAGTCTGTACCCCAGCTATCACACCATAGCAAGGTATCCCCTAAACCCTAAAGCCCTAAAGCCCTAAAGCCCTATACCCTAAACTCCTAACCCTGAACCCTTAACCCTAAACCCCTAACTAACCCTAAAACCCTAGACCCCAAACCCTAAACCCTGCAATCTGAAAATCCTAAACTCTAAACTCTAAACCCTAAACCCTAAACCCTAAAACCGTAAAATCTTAAACCCTAAACCCTAAACCCTAAAACCCTAAAATCCTAAACCTCTAAACCCCTAACCCTAAACCCTGCAATCCCAAGCTCTAACCCCAAACCCCCAGCTTTGGACTCATCAAACCTCCAGCCCCAAAGCACTATGTGGGTAATTCTCTAAATGCGGGTCCCTTTTAGGGTCCGTTAAGGGTAACCCCCGAACTCCTGGCAAGGCGGAGTGGCTCAAGACATGGGGAGCCGCAGCCACAGCGAACCTCCACAGTGGGTTTAGGGTTTAGGGTTTAGGGTTTAGGCATTTAGGGGTGTAGGGGTTTAGGGTTTAGGGGGGCTTTGGGTTTTTGGGTTTAGGGTTTAGGGGTGTAGGGTTTAGGGGTTTAGGGGTTTAGGGGTTTAGGGGTTTAGGGGTGTAGGGGTGTAGGGGTGTAGGGTTTAGGGGTTTAGGGTAGGGGTTTAGGGTTTAGGGTTTAGGGGTTTAGGTAGGGGTTCAAAGGGGTTTAGGGGTGTAAGGGGGTTTAAGGGTGAGAGTTGTTGCTTGGGATTCGCTTTCGTTCCTTGGAAAGTGTAACGATGCAACACATCCTCGGACTTAGTCTTTTGTGTTATCAGAACCCATTTAGTTCCAACTTTTTTGGAGAGAAATTGGAACCCACTGGTTATGACACGTCTGCTTTGGTTTCCAGTATCCCTGCGGAACTCCGCATCTTCGCTTCAATACGATAAAACTAAAGCTTAGTTCCGCAATACACGACCTTTACACTTTTTGGGTTCTTATAATTTAGTAGCAATCTGAAAGTTTAACATTTTAGTTCCCTGGCTTATTGGGGAAGCAAAAAAAGTTGGGATCTCCCAGGCATGGCAGTTGGTCAGGTTCTGTGGGCAAGTCGCCAGCCCCGCGTCTCTTTTGACTTCCGATCCTAAACCACAACAATCAACTCTACACCCTCAGCCCCAAACCCTCAACCCTAATCACAGATCCGAAACCCTAAACCCTAATCCACCATAAATCCTAATTCCTAGGCCCTAAGCCATGAACCCCAAATCCCACCCCCCACCCCCGAGGTTGAAACCCTAAATCCCAAACCCTAAACCCTATAAACCCTAAACCCTAAACCCTAAACCCTAAACCCTAAACCCTAAACCCCCGAGGTTGAAACGGTGGAAACATTTGGGCCCGACATCACGGCGGCAGCCTACGGTGAGACGTTTTACGACTCCTGGAAGGCCGGGTCTTCTCACGTGTCGTTTCTAAGGGGTTTCTAAGGGGTTTAGGGTTTTTTGGGGGTT